GACATGCCAAGGAGTTGTACAGCTCTGTGTGGGCACTTAGGGCTAGAATTGAAACTCTGTGCTCAATTGAACTGGTGGCAGGAAAAGAGGGACGGGGTAACAAGATCCAGCCAGAAAGCAAACCACAGTGTGAAGTGGCTCTGTTGTGGCCCTGGGTTGGCAGCTCTGGGTGATGTGATGCCATTGGCTATGGAAGTGCTGAGCTCAGGCACAGCTGTTAGCCACACTCAGCCTGGCCTGGGCATGGGACACAGCCTGTGGCTTCCTGAGGACAACCACTCTCATCTCTCCAGGGAGAGCCTGAGGAGCATGGAGCACCTTGCAGTCATATCTTTGAGGCTAAGCAACTTTAGCACCAGCCCCATCAGCCCAGTTGCCAAGTTCCACAGGTCATCACACCCAAACAGCTGACACAGAGACCTCAACCAAATCACAGAGCAACCAGGGACATGAGCATGATTTGTTTTCTGCTGCAGAAAATATGTACCGATATGTTCTGGATGAGCTTTGGCTCATTAATGTCACATCTCAACAAACATGCCTGAGCTGAGCCCACCTGGTTGAGGCCTTAGGATTGGGTGGGCAGAAATGGACATTTCTAGTTATCCTCTGGAAAGGAAAAAGAAGAACTAGAGGAGTGATGACAATGTGCCCATGGAGGAATGGAGTTATGCAAAGGTGTTTCCTAGGGATGTTGCTTGAAAGGCAGAAATGTCCATCCTTAGAAACAACTGCTATTTATTGAGTGAGAAGACCAGCAGAGCAGACACTAGTGCAACATTGGCAACACAAAGATACACATCATAACCAAAAGCATCATATTAAAATTATTAAGACAAGGTACAAGTAGGACTCTTACGCAACTTAAACCCCAGAGCACCATTTGTTTTCTAGAGGAGATACAAGACATATAAATAACACCCATACTTCTTGTCACACAAGTTGTACATCCTGAGGTAGACAAATGTTTGGTTCCCTTAAGGCACAGTCTTTACTTTTCAAGTTACATATTCTGTGTGGCAAATCGGCTTCCCAGTGTGCCACAATGTGCCTGAGGGGTAGCAGTGATACTGCACAAGTGAGGGTTGTTACTCTGCTCGTCAGTGTTTCTTGGATTCCATGGCCCTATGTATTCATCTGATAGAGCCCCAGTGTCCCCAGCACTGCCCTGCCCTGCCAGCACAGCTCAGCACTGCAGGGATCCCTGGAGAAGCCTCCTGGAATTACTGGTGTCTCATCATTTTATGAGGAAGCCTCCAGACATGATTTCTTTCTAGGCAGGTTCAGGTCTTCACTTGGGAATGGTGAGGTCCATCCACACCTCAACTTTATACACTCAGTAAAACTTTACATAGAACCCCAGACTGGTTTGGGTTGGAAGGACCTTAAACTCATCCAGTTCCACTCCTGCCATGGGCAGGGACACCTTCCAGCAGCCCACGTGGCTCCAAGCCCCATCCAGCCTGGCCTGGAACACTCCCAGGGATGGAGCAGCCACAGCTTCTCTGGGCAACATGTGCCAGAGCCTCAGCACCCTCACAGGAAGGAATTCCTGCCCAATATCCCATCTAACCTGCCCTCTGGCAGTGGGAAGCCATTCCCTGTGTCCTGGCGTGGCCCTTGTAAAAAGTGATGGATGGATGGATGGATGGATGGATGGATGATAGACTTCTATTTCCCCCTGCAAAAAGCTTACTGGATTCATGACTACCAAGCCCAACACCACAATACTCAGGAGAGGCAATAAAAGCTGGACTAGGAAGCACACACAGGGCCAGGCCCAGGGCCAGGGACTAACCCGTGTGTGCGGCACCCGTGACACGGGCTGGGAGGACCCAGCCAGCATCCTGCATTAGAGCTCTGGCTGCTCTCAGGTTATTGGCTCTTAGGTACAGAGGAAAGGATTCAATCAAATCAAAGCTTCAGCAAACATCTGCAGCTCAGATCTTTGCCACTGACACTGATGTTAAGGCACATTTGCACTTGGGAAAGGATATTTTACAGCCAGGCCATAAGCTTTCACCTTTACTGTCAAAAGGATTTCCATGTAGAGACTTCAGTGTGATCTCCTTCTGCCTCCAGTAACTGACACACACAGCCAAACCCACTGGATGTGCAGCACATCATGAGGTGTGCAGAGGAATTGAAAAGTTCTCCCAGCTGGATGTGAGAGCCCAGATGGTTGCCCAGGTCTCCACATCTCCAGGAGGTGGCAGAAGAGCTTTGCTCAAGATGATGTTTGGTCTTCGTCCTTGAAGGAAAGACAACTCCAGCCTGAGAATACCAAGTGCCAACAGACTTCGGTTTGGCTTCCTGGTCACACAAAGACTACCAGTGCCGTTAGCTGTAATAAACCATATTTCTGAACATCAACCCAATTTACCTCGTTTGGGTGACCAAACCGCACTGGACAACAAGGAAGAATAAACCAAACCCACAAGGTATCTGCCTCAAGCAAACTTTTCACTCCCTTATCCACAGCATCATTTCTAAGCGCTTTAGTGCTGAAGGATGCCAAAGGATTGACATCAATGTTGCCTCAAATTCAACATATGCTCAAGTCTTCTCCCCAGTGCTCACATGGGGCATTTGCCATTCTTTGTTTCCCATCAGTGTTCTGTGTTTGCTTCCCAGACTGAGGCTGTGCTGTCTGGCAGGAGGGACAGAAAGCTCTGCAGCTGGGACAGGAGGGTTGAACTAGGCTCTGAGCTAACCCGGCAAAGCAAAGCTGGAGGACATCAGATGTCCTTGTTCAGACCTGGCTGAGCAGCTAACAACCCAAATGCCAAACCTCCATGTTCCACTGAGCCCAAATCCACCCCAACGGGACCACAGAGTGAACCATCTCTTCCTCAGATCTTCTCCATATCCTCCTTCCTCAGGCAGCTCTGAGCCATGTATGGCAAGGAGCTTCAGGCTCCAAATCCCCTCTGGTGCATGAAGAACCTACTCAATGTTCCCCTGAAATATGTCTTTGTCCAGTTCTTGTTCAGCAATTCCTGTTGAGCTGCTGAAGTTCAGCTTGGATAAGAGCAAGAGGACAGAATGATGTCTCCTCCACTTGCTTCCCAAAGAATGGATCCAACTGTGCTTCCCCTTTCCTTCCACTGAGTCCCAGTTTAAATGGGAATGGTCCATGTGACCTCCAAATGACCCTCCTGTGGTGGGATATTCCCTTCCTTTCTGATGCTGGACAAGCCTAGAGGTCAGTGGGGCAGAGAGTTTGGGATCAATAATGTAGAGCAGAGTGAGTTCCTTGTGCACTTCACCTATGAAGCCATTTTTAGCTTGTTTGGAAACTTTTTCATTGAGAGCTCAACACTGAGACCCGTGGGAAGATTTCAGCTTCACAAGGATTAAAACAACATGTAAATAATGGTCAGCTCAATAGTAAGTTCTTGGGTATTTAGAAGGTAAAATAATAAGGCTAATTAAGCCTATTTGCAGTTATTATGTCTGTCATAAACACTTTAATTCAGATCAAGACAACTTGAGCCAGAAAAGGGATAAAAAGGACTAAGCCCATTACAAGAGCTGTAGCTGGTGAAAGGGAAGGTCTTAGTGGCCTCTGAACAGGCAGTTAATGGCTCAATCTGCTCTGAGCAGCTCTGTCCCAGCCTTTGGAGGAGCTGAAACCAAACAGAGTTGTAAAAATCCAAATGGGCAAGAAGTCAAGATAAAAGAATGAGTATACACTCATCACTGAGAGGGAACTGCTCAAAGCACGTGGCAATGAGTGGCTGAGCTCCTGACTCCAGAGGATCCATACTGCAGAGCTGGAGCACACAGACAGACCTCACCACCTCCTAGGAGAACCCATGGGAAGCACCACTCCCAATTCAGCCTGTGGATTAGCTCATCCAGACAACGTAAAGTCAACTGGAAAACCATGGCTCAAAGTCGGGGGCTCAGGCCTCTGTAAGGACTCTGCTCCTTCCCCCAGGTCACAGCTCATGGCTGTGCCTGGACAAATCCAACTGCTCAGAGCAGGAATTGCCACTCATGACCTCAGTTCCTGTGGGTCCTGAGTCCTTTTCAGACATTTCACCTGTCATTAGCCCAGGGCAGGACTGTGGATGTGACACAGCTCAGGCACCAGGCACAGAGTGGTGCATATAAGCTAAAAAGGTGATTGATTGATTGATTGATTGATTGATGAAGAAGGATGCATAACTGACACCATCCTCCTGGATCCACCCCCGCAAAACACCCCCTGGGAGGCAGTGTGTGCAGAGGGGTGAATTCACAGCCCCAGCTGAGTTCCTGTGGCGCATCCACTGTCACAGAGGCAATTCCAGGTGTATGGCAAAGTCAAAACATGGTTAAAATGCACTTGAAGCCAAATGTCCAAAGCACAGCCCTGGGAGCTGATGGACATGAGCTCCATAAGGTTGCAAACTGGCATTGCTGAGGCACAATTCTTGCAGCAAAATGAGACTATTCAACAGTGTGTGTTTGAGTTCACAGCAGGAAGGACTCAACCAGCTCCCACAGAACAGCACTGGAAATTCCTCACTGCCAGAGTCCTTTGGCCTTGGTGCAGGAGCAGAACTGTCCCTGCTGCACAGGGTCCAGGCTCTGGAGAGCTGCGTCCTTGGTCCCTTAATTGTCTTCTCTCCAGGAACGAGGGCACAACCCTCGGTACCTCAACGGCACCACCCCAACACATCTACACCAGTGCACCTGAGGGATGGAGGATGAAGATACTCCCCCAGAACAGAGCACAAGTGTTAGCTCAAGAGAATCTTCGTGACTGCTACAGAGTTCCTGCTGTCCCCACATCCCCCCACTCCCTGTCCTCCTCCCTCACCTGATCCCTGACAAAACCTCTGGTGTTCCCCCCTCATGCAGAGGCTCTGCCCAGCCTGGAGGACCTCAGCACTGAGGTTAGAGGAGCACTGCACATGTTTGGTGCTTGCCTTTGCCCTCACTCCCAGCAGAGAGTCATCTCTGTCTCCCAGCTGCTTCCTTGGCCTTGTCTTGCCCCTCCAGCACTGTCTCTACTGCTTGCAGCTGTAGACCACCTCCTCCTGCATGCACTGCTGGCACTCCACATAGCAGCACCACTGCACCTGGCAGTGGCAGGAGAAGGTGACCAGGCGGCTCTGGGTGTTGTAGCCTCGGCCACAGCACATGCTGTCACAGTTGCCCTCCCGAGAGCAGGTCCTGCCTGCAGTGCCCAGGGAGTACTTGCTGGGCCGACAGAAGCTCGGGGAGTCCTCCACATAGACCAGGTCGGTGGAGCGAGGGGCAGGAGGGTGCTTGGGGGAGTGGCTGTGCCTCTGAGGCCCAGCGAGCTCCGAGTGCCCCACGGCGTCATTGCTGGTGCTGAAGACCTTGACGGCATCGTCATAGCGAAGCTTCAGCAGGCGCCCGACCTCGTGGAACGGAGAGAGCTGCTTCCAGCACGTCCTCACGGCGCACGAGCCGGACACACCGTGGCACTTGCAGGTGGTTTGGAGGCCATTTTTCACTGCCTGGTGAGGAAGGACACAGAATAATAGGTATAAATTGAAAGAGGGGAAGTTAGATCAGATGGTAGGAAGAAGTTTCCCTGTGAGGGTGGTGAGACACTGGCACAGGTTGCCCAGGGAGGCTGTGGCTGCCCCAGCCCTGGCAGTGTTCACAGCCAGGTTGGCTGAAGCCTTGAACAACCTGCTCTGCTGGGAGGTGTCCCTGCCCAGGGCAGGGGGTTGGGGTTGGATGATCTCTGAGCTCCATTCCAACCCCTTCACACACTATGAAACTATGAATAACAATGGTTGACATTATCTGCCAGGACCTGAGCCTAGTTCTGGTTAGAGGCAACACCCCAGACTGCAGACAGCCTGCAAGTACCACGATTTTATTGGTATTGTTTCTGTTCTATGGAGGAAAAAATAACAGTAACTTAAAAAACAAAGCCAAGGAATGGCTACAGAGTCGACTGGTAGAACTGGTAGCTGAGTAGTAGACTTATATTAGGGAAAAAATGTTCCCCTATTAGTGTGTTCAGGCACTGCAATACTGCCCAGGGAGGTTGTGGAGTCACCATCCCTGGAGGTGTTTCAGAGGTGTCTGGATCTGGCACTGGAGGATCTGGTTTAGGGGTTACAGCAGTGACAGGTTAAGGGTTGGACTGGATGATCTTAGAGGTCTCTTCCAACCTGGATGATTCCATGGTGAGCCAGAGAGTGGAAAGCCTGAGTGAGGACAAGCAGCTGAACACCAAACAAGTCCTTACTAAGCCTATTTGGCACAGTAGGAGTCAACCGTAAAACTGAGGACCTCCGACATGGTGAATTCCTTTTGTTCTATTCAAATGAAGACAATGCTCTAATTGCTCTAATTGATCAATCAATTGGGCTCAGTAAATGGGAGACCATAGATCAGCAGCCTCTAACATACAGGCTATTGCTACAGGTTCATGGTTGGACTTGATGATCTCAGAGGTCTCCTCCAACTTTGATGATTCTGATTCTAGACAGATCAAAGTGCTCAATCTAATGGTCTCCCTGACCCAAATTGTGACATGATTTGTTCCATGGCAAGTCACCACCAGACTCAGAACTGATCTCAAGTGTCGATCCTAAATCTACTTCACACACCAGCTCAGAAGCTCAAAGTGTTCTCAGAGCTCCCTATGCCTGTGGCATAACCCATGGAGTCACTCAGCACTGAGTTTCACAGCTGTAACTGCTGCTCGTTGCTGTCACTCAGTCCCTGGTACCACCAGAGGATACAGAATGCTCCTCTAGCACTGAATGTGCAGCTTCTCACACCAGAACTCAGGAGACTTTCCAGGAGTTCTCAGTGCCGTAAGGTCCATGACACTTGGGTAACCAGGTCTGGCTGTGAGCAGGAGCAGTGAACACTCCTCTCACAAACAGCCTCAGCTGAGGATAACTTAGAAGTCTTCCACTGAGTCCTAAGCTCATTCTAAGCCTCCTAGCGCAGCTCCGCACCTTGATGCCAACGTTGGTGTTGTGGATGTCCACCTTGGCCCTCAGGTCTTTGCCAATCCTCTTCTGCCCCAGGAATTTCTTCAGGAACTTGGTGCTGTACTTGAGGTTGTCCCCACAGACACCCCACTGCCAGGCCTTGCGATTCTCCAGCCCCGGGGAGTCGTCGCAGGTGCAGCGCTCCATGCGCCCGGCGCTGCACGCCCTGGCCAGGGAGTGTGTCAGAGCTGCAGAGGACACTGCGTAGAGGAAGGCAGTTTCCTTAAAACCTGCAGGGGAGAAGGAGTAGGAGATGGTAGGAACAGGCAAGGCAAAATAAGGGGTTCAACCACCTTGCTGGAGGTCACAGTCAGTAGAGTCCTGACTGTGTGTGGACTGAACTCAAGCACATTAATTAGACATACTGTGCTGGTTTGGGCTGGGGTAGATTAACTTTCTTCCCAGTTCTGGGGCTGTGCTTTGGGTTTGTGCTGAACACAGGGCTGATAACTGCACACCACAATGCAATTCTGCAGCTGGGATTATTCTTCAGCCACAGTGCCAAGGTGTCCCCAGGCAGACACCCCCAGCCCATGGGAGCAGCTCAGGAAGAAGGCAGGCTCCAAATCTGAGAGTGGAAGCACATAGAGAGCACCATGCCATGCTCACCAGTGTCCCAACCAAGCCTTGATGTCTTTGGCAAAGGCCACAGTGTAGCCTGTGCAGTCCTCCTGCTGGAACTTGCTTTCCAGATTCAGGTGCTCTGGTGCACCAGAATTGCCTCTTCTGGAGTCTAAAGCAGCCAAGAACCCTTTTCCCAAACTTTTGGAGAAGCTATACACAATTAAGCCACTCCTGGGTGCTCAGCAGTGCTGGAGCATCCAGTGTGTCAGAGGAGCTTCCTAGATGTGTATTCCCTGTCCTGCTTGGAGAAGTCATAGAATCATAGCTGTTAAGGACACTCACCCATTTTCCAGCAGTGCCTAATCCACCCAAAGAAGGAGCTAAGAAGGATAACAGATACTTGAGATTCTAAAGCTGAAAAATCCTTCCAGAGACCAACAAATGCTACCAGATTCCCAATATCCTGTGTGACACACTGGTCCCAGAAGTGAGCAGAGCATTTCAGAAAGCCTTTCCCACACCATAGAAAGCCAGTGGTGCCTGTCAGCTCCACAGCCCCTGCTAAATCTGACTTGTGGAACACCACACTGCTCCTGCTATTTCTGAGCAGGGATGGTTTGGTTGTTCCTGTGGCATTCCACATAATGCTGCCCACAGCTCGGCCCACTGCAAACCAGAGCCATTGCTTGTGGTCAGGCCACTGCAGACAGCTGGAACTGCAGAGTGTGAGCAGACTTCCAAACCCCCTCCTCCTCCTGCACCCTTCCACCTCCTTCTGAGGCAGAGCTTCAACATCACCAGCTGCCAAGTGCTTGTCTGAAAAGTCCAAGATGCTTCTTTCTACTTTGTCCTGAGGACTGATCACCATTTAACTGTTAATTCACAAATCACATGAGTGAAGTTAAAACCACATGGTCCTTCAGCCCTTGTGGGATTAACAATGTGCAGCAGAGCAGCTGCTGACTGGATTTGCAGTAAGACACAGCTGGGCAGAAATCAGCTCCAAGGAGCACCATTTGAGAAGGTCTGAGTAGAGGTTTCTTCATGTGTCACAGAACCACAGGATAGTCAGAACTGAAGGATCACCAGTCCAACTCCTGCACAGATACCCTACAACCCACCCTGTGCCTGAGAGCATTGGCCAAACACTCCTGGAGCTCTGTCAGCCTTGGAGCTGTGCCTAAACACCTCTGGGGGAAGAACCTTGTCCTGCTATCCAATCTAACCCTCCCCTGACACAACTTCACGCCATTCTCTGAGTACTGTCACCGGTTGCCAGACAGCAAAATCAATGTCCTGGTCTCTATCCTCCCACTATGCCAACAGAGCTCTGGTCATCACAGCCAGTGGAGCCCAGAGCCTGGTCTGCTCTGGGGATGAGTCACTCTCCTGACCCCGACTGACTGCGCTGCTAGTGACTAAGTGGACCTGAAACACTGGGAGCAAGGGGAATGTCAGACTGCAGATGCCTTTGGTTGCAAACATCCAGCAAAGAGATGAGTTTCAAGATGCTGCAGCAAGTCAGATTCCTCTGGTAGGACCTTGCCCGTGTCCAAGCGTCCCCTGAGCTCTCTGGAAGGATTTCTTAGCTCAGCAGCCTGTAAGTACCGAAGGC